CACACACACACACACACAGACACACACAAAACTGAAAAGATTGAAAATGGATAAACGATCCATCCACGTGGCTGCGACATGTGACGCCCCTCCGGCCCCTGGGGAGAAGCAGCTTGTGTTTCCTTACGCACTCCATTCCGTCAATCGGTGATGGATGTCATTATTATCTTACCTTGTCCTCGTAAATCATGCTCATGCTCCTTATCTTTCATCTTCCTAGTCATCTTCATCTGTCAGCCTTGTCATGGCCAGGTGCTCTCTCTCTCTCTCTCTCTCTCTCTCTCTCTCTCTCTCTCTCTCTCTCTCTCTCTCTCTCTCTCGCTCTCTCTCGCGCGCGCCTTCGTGCACGCCAAAAAGGAAGCATGACTGTCCAGACTGTTTCATCGGAGGTTGAACCCCGACAGCATGTGCGTGCGTGTTTGTGACGTCATGTTCGCTTTAGACAACTCCATAAAAAAAGCTCCGCCTATGCCAGACTGAACCAAGCACCGATTCCATGATGCACGCAGCACCGTTACACCTGGCACGAAGCACGGATCCCACGAACCAACCGCCGATGCACGTAACACCGAAAGCAAACCAAGCATGGAGTACCACGTAGTAGCACAAATGCACCCAGTAGCACCAAGTAGCATGAAAGTGGCACCGATGCACGAACCAAACACAAAGTAACGAGCACGAAGTACCAAGCACTGAGAGAAAGAAAGGGAGAGGGAGAGAGAGAGGGGGGAGAGAGAGAGAGAGAGGGAGATCCACAGAGAAAGAACTGAGAGAAAGAAAGGGAGAGGGAGAGAGAGTGAGGGTGTTGCATACTTCAATGAGTATGGGCAGAACCAAAGATCAACCAATGTAGGATGAGCATATATGCAGCGGAAGTCTGATAAACGGACTGACTCACATAGACTGACTCACATAGCATCACTCCACACACATACAATCGTGAGATGGTGCGGTCTGGGCCATTCGTAGACGATGCCCAGATCCCGTACACGCATTCACAGATGAAAGGTGGGAGGAGAGACGAAGGAGGTGGGGAGGTAGACAACACCGATAGATAGAGTCTGATAGGTCTCCGATATGGTAGTCCAAAATGTCATACAACAAGATCAAAATGTCGAGGCCCATAGGTCATCAATGTCGGAGATACAGAGTCCAGATGTAACCGGTGTCCAACTGTGATGCAGCCGAGTATCAACCTCGACAATCTCCAAGTCTCCAATCAGGTAAGTACCACAGTCTCATATCACCGAAGTCCAACTCTGATCTCTGTCCAACTAGTACAAGTCTCTAGTCTGAAGAAGAAGAAGAAGAAGGAGGAGGAGGAGGAGGAGGGAGAGAGAGAGAGAGAGAGAGCTGACGAGGGAGGGAGGAGAGGTCCTCCGCTCCCAGGTACCTCAGGCGGCAATGGCCGCCGTGCTGGCTCAGTCGCCCTGCTGCTGCTCCGCTTGCCGCTGCGCTCATGCTGCGCTGCCGCTGCTGCTCCTTGCTCGCTCCTGCGCTAAACTTAGCGCATCAAAACAGCGCTCTGGCGCTGACCATACCGTACCGGTATAGTGCCGGTAGGTCGATGCCTCCAAGTGAGGCTGTACCGGTACTTTATACCGGTGGGGCAGAGGCCGGCCTCATGCTGCGAGGCCTGGCCATGCCCTGAACCGTCCAGATGGACGGTTCAGCCCCAACCGGCGGGCGGCAGCCTCAAGAGCGCCGCCAGGCCCAAACGATAATGCCGTTTGGGCCTGCCCGTCGGGTACTGGTCCAAGATTGTAATACCCCAAGGTCGGGCCTTTAGGCCCTGATGTGTCCCTCCGGCCCTAAGTCGGGTCCGGTAGGACCCGTGTGCGTCGAAGATGTAACAGAGGGAGAGGGAGATCCACAGAGAGAGAGAGAGAGCGTTACGGTAGGCAGGCCGTAGGCAGGTTGCATGGATCGCGTAAGCTGTAGGTAGGTCGCCTAGGTCGCGTAGGTGGGCGTAGGCAAGTCAGTATGTCGCGTAGGCAAGACCGTAGGGCACAAAGTACGAAGAATGGTGTACCAAGCACTGAGAAAGAGAAAGGGAGAGGGAGAGAGCGGGCCAGAGAGAAAGAGAGAGAGAGGGAGAGAGAGAGAGAGAAAGAGAGAGAGAGAGGGAGAGAGAGGGAGAGAGAGAGAGAGACCGCTACGGTAGGCAGGCCATAGGTGAGGAGGGCTACGGGATGACAGCAGGATGGCGGATGTGCGGGCAGAGGAACGGATGTGCAGGTGGTAAAGAAAGCGGAGACGGCAGGAGGAGATGGCAGGACGAGACGGAGGCGGAGGTGAGTGGGGGCGAGCAGAGGTGTGCGGAGGTGTCAGGGGAGGTGGGCGGAGGCAGGCGGAGGTGAGCAGGGGCGAGCTGAGCTGGGCGGAGGTGGGCGGAGGTGGGGGGAGGGCAATCGGAGATGGGCGGAGGAGGTGACTGAGGCAGGTGGGAAAGAAAGCGGAGACAGTGGGAGGAGATGGCGGGCGAAGGTGGGCGGAGGTGGGAGGTGGTGGGCGGAGGCCAAGCGGAGTTGGGCGGAGGGTGAGCATAGGTGCACGGAGGTGGGCGGGGTGGGCAGAGGTGGGAGGAGGTGGGCGGAGACGACGAAGTCGGACAGCCCTCGACCCAACGGGCTGTTCGACACGAACAGAGCCATGGCGCCACCCCGCAACGCCCTCTTCTCAACGGGCATGCCGATCCAGGCCTCCCACGGCCGTACCGGGGCGACGGCCCGGATTTCCGCACAATCTCAAGACTTTAAGATCGTGAGTCGATCCAGGCCGTCCGGCAAAGCGGACGGTCTGGATCGCCGCGCGATCTTAGTCTTAAAGTCTTAAAGTCTTAAAGTCAAGTCTTAAGATCGTGCGGAAATCCGGGCCGTCGGCCAGTAGGCAGCGGGCGGCCCGGATTAGCCAAATGTTGCGCGCCAAATAGTGATTTCTGTAAGTGTAGGGATCCAGCCACTGAACCAGATTATCGCACCACGAATGGGTTATTGTTTGAGAAGACAAACGTCATAGATCGACTATGCATTCCCAATAATGAAGAGATCCGGAGTCTGATCTTAGGGGAATGTCACCATACTGAAGGGCAGTTTGGCTGGCAAAAGACACTAGCCAACCTGACACGTGCCCACATATGGCCTGGCATGAAGCCCGACTGCATAGAGTATGTCCGCAGTTCTGAAGTATGCCAGCGCAACAAAACTAGGACGCAAGCACTATTGGGTCTTCTCATACCCCTGCCCATCCCATAAGGACCCGAAGACTTCTCCATCGACTTTATGGATGCGAGGGTCAGGAGTACGCGTGGCAAGAGCCAAGTCATGGTCATAGTAGACCGTTTTAGTAAGTATGCAGTTTTTGTTCCTTTTCCCAAGGCACGCAAACAATTAGTGATATAAGTTTTTTTATGACTGGGTAAGTGACCATGGTATTCCGCTATCTATAGTTAGTGATAGAGATACGAGGTTTACTAGCCACCATTGGCAGGAGCTTTTAAGAGTCTATGGCTCAAAGTTGTTGATGCCATCTGGCCGTCATCCCGAGACTAACGGTCAAACTGAGCAAATGAAGAAGGCCCTGCAGCAGATACTCAGGATGCACATTAGACCAGATCAGATTAACTGGGATGAGATGCTCGCCTACAACGATAGTGTTCACTTAGCTAACTGCAGGACTCCTAATGAGTTACACAAGTCCTTTAGACCACAGGCTATTTGAAGGGTTCAATCGTGACCTGATACAAAGATTCTGGCCGTCATCCCGAGACTAACGGTCAAACTGAGCAAATGAATAAGGCCCTGCAGCAGATACTCAGGATGCACATTAGACAAGATCAGATTAACTGGGATGAGATGCTCCCTAAGGTAGCTAACGCCTACAACGATAGTGTTCACTTAGCTAACTGCAGGACTCCTAATGAGTTACACAAGTCCTTTAGACCACACAGGCTATTTGAAGGGTACTCCTAATGAGTTACACAAGTCCTTTAGACCACACAGGCTATTTGAAGGGTTCAATCATGACCTGATACAAAGATTACCACCCGGAACTACAGAGTTTGCGCTGTAGCATGAGAGAGAAATTGCAAGGGTAACTGAGAATCTGAGAAAAGCTCAGCACAAAATGATAGAGCAAGCTAATAAGCATCGTCGCCCATTGCAGTTCCAGGTAGGTGATTTAGTTTGGGTCAAATCTAAGGAGTTCGGAAGTAAACGGCAGAGAGGATGGGCTTTCCTACACTACAGACATGCCAGCACACCTACACACATACCCAGTCTTCCATGCATCAAAGCTATTACCTTGTGTCACTAGCCAGCAATTTCCATCGCGCCGATAGATGATTCTGCTGGATGTGGATCACACATATGACATAGACCGCATTTTGGAAGAGGATGTGTTCAGAACCGGAGGTAGGGGTCGTCCACAAAAGCAGTACAAGGTCAGGTACGCCTATCAGGTACCTGAGGACGACCGCTGGTTTACAAGGTCAGAGCTTCTAGAGACCGCTCCCGACACAGTACACACCTACGACAGAGAGAGGAAACGTAAAGGTCCTGCCTTGCGTTGAAGTACTCTCAGAGGACCTCGAATTTAGGCCGGTGGGAGTGAAACAGTTTTCACCTTTACGGTAGTAGATGCAGTTTCCAGGGCTCGATCCCTAGACCTCACCCTCAACCATGTACAGTACGAGTTGAGCTGTGTGTGCTGGAACCCACGACCTGTGTCTTGAAGTTCCCTGTTTGGCTGTCGTAGTTAGTGTGGGCGTTGGGTCTTGAACCGTAGGTCTGTAGATTAGAGGTCTTAGCAGTGGTAGGAGTCATAGCTGCTACAGTGTTGAAGGGTCAAGAAGGTCGTAGCTGCTACAGTCCCGAAAGGTCAAGTCTGCATCCTTCGGGAAGTTCCGGAAGTGGCCTTTCGTAGACTCTTAGGATCAGTCCTAGTCCTACCTAGTCAGCAGTACCCCGTCCCAAGGTGCACTTTGTCCAGTCAGCAAATACCATGTGGGACTGTGCATCCCCCGGGCCCCGGGACAATCCGAAGTACAAATAAAGAGGCGGCATCAACTCGTTCATTCATTCTTCCTGTGAGCCGTGCGGAAGGGCTGTTTATGCGTCTTGTGTGCGGAGGTCTGCAGGTGCCCGAAGAGGAAGTGGGCTAAGAGGGGGAAGACACGGCCATAGCCGCTTGTGTTAGCAGTAGAGGTAGATGGCATCCACATCTGCCAGTTAGCATAGTGTGTGTGTACACATGTGAGGTGTGTATGTATGCGGGACATTCAGGGAGATACAGAGTTGAGTGCGTGTGAACAAGTTGCCGGGGATACAGTGATCGAGGGGTAGTTGTTGTCTGGCGCTCAGCGCCAACCGATCAAGACAAGTTTGAATCTGAGCTGTGTTCTTGGCCTTGTTATCTCTAAGAGTTTTCTGCGGGTGCAAGTCGCCAGCTTGATCGTCATCTGTTTGCAACTTTGTACGCATGCTGAGCGTTGAGAAAGACAAGTCCGATTGCAATACATTCCATTTGAGGGAAGAAGGTAGTTGGCATATTTCAGCACGTAAACCCCATAACTCAGTTCTTGAAAGGGGATTACTCTGAATTCTGAGCAGCGGAGAGTCCAGTCCAAACCCCCACGGTCAGGGGTTTTCAGATGGCTGTCAGTGCCAGTATTGGTCGGGGTCGTTCCACCACACAGTAAACAAGAGGGAAGAAGGTAAGTAGCATATTTCAGCATGCAAACACCATAACTCAGTCGTTCCACCACACAGTAAACAAGAGGGAAGAAGGTAAGTAGCATATTTCAGCATGCAAACCCCATAACTCAGTTCTTGGAAGGGGATTACTCTGAATTCTGAGCAGCGGAGAGTCCAGTCCAGCCCCCCACTGTCAGGGGTTTTCAGATGACCGTCAGTGCCAGTATTGGATGGGGTGATTTCACCACCCAGTTAACAAGAAGTGCTGACAGCTGATGGGCATGTATTTATTTAACCAATCACAGTGACAGCATAGCAATGTGTGATTCTGATGAAGTGGAACAGGGCCCCATGCCCGGACACCACGGATATTGCTTCAGTCCTGTTCCGAGTATGAGTCCAGTGAGGATTGAACCCAAGACCTGAATGCCACTTGCTCGACTTACCAACTGAGCTAGGCCACCGGATATGGTGTGCTTTGTTAGGCAGCCACAGGTATGTCCGACCCTGCCAGGGTTGGCCAAAAGAGAGATTAGACAATTCTGGTCCTCCCCCCCCCCCCCCCCCCCCCCCCCCCCCCCCCCCTTCTTCCCTCCTTTTTCCTTCTTCCAAATCCCCCTTCTGGATTAGACAACTCAGGTTCGGGCGTAGTGGAGGTTTAAACAGCAGTCCAGATCGGTATCTCTATCCTGCTCAACCGAAAGGTCCGCAACAAAACTGTAAGAAGATCTGCACAGGGATGACAGCACCTTCAAAAAGGTGGTGGAGATGGCAGCTACCTGACAAATTCCGTAGGTCTGCTGGCGAAGATGTTGCAGGCATTGGCATGCCACTGGGAAGAGCACCACCCGCTTCCCCTCCTGACGCAAGCAGCTTATAAAAGACACCTGGTGGTACCCATGCATTTGCAGATGCTGTAGCAAGTGCTACAGCACGAGATCGTTCCCCGCTAGCTCTGCAAGGCCACAAGGCACACCACGGAAACAGAAAATGCAAACGATCAGCAAATACAGCCTGATGGATCTGGTCTACCTGCTGCACCTTTTTTGCATTATTAATTTCTCAACAAGAAAGAAAGAAAGCAACGTACGACTTGAAAGAGCCGGCACGAAAAGAATAGAAAAGAAAAGAAGGAACATGAGCGATATGGTGACATTGGTGAGGGCATCAAATAAGAAATTAGCTCATGCACATTATAGCGCTAATCGGACGCACCAAACCAAAGAAGGAACGAGCGATATGGTGACCTTGGTGAAGGCATCAAATGAGAAATTAGCTCATGCACATTTTAGCGCTAATCTGACACAGCTGAAACGGTTTTCACCTGTTAGCAGTAGCGAATGGCTCGATCCCTAGTTCTTACCTTACCTGTGTACAGTACCTGTGTCGACCCCGAGAGTTGAACCCGTTACCTGTTTATTCGCAACAGTTCGTAGGCTGTTGTAGGTCCGTGGGTTGTAGGGGTTCGATCTGTAGACCTGTCGGGTAGAGGTCTTAGCAAGTTCTAGAAGTCGTAGCTGTAGCCCTTCTGAAAGGTCAAGTTCGTAGCTGCTACAGTCCTGAAAGGTCAAGGTCGCAGCTGCTACAGTGTCGAAGGGCCAAGTCCACAGACTTCCGGAAGGTCCAGAGGTGGCCCTTCCAACGTTACTCACAGCAGACTAGACACCCAACCACCATGCGGACACCTAATGCTCTTTTTGGATGAAAGCCGCATACACAAATTGATATTTTTGGTCCCAGATCGGCAGCAGAAGTATCCTCCTGGAACAACAGATTTCACCAAGCAGTTCGCTGATGAACTGCGACAGGCCATCAGATATATGCAGAAGGCACAAGAACAAATGGTTGCTGAAACCAATCGACACCGCAGACCTTCCCCATTCAAAGAGGGAGATCTCATCTGCATCAGCATGGATGAGTTTGCACCAGAGGAAGGAAAATCCAGAAAAGTTCTGCCAAAGTGGTGTGGGCCTCGAGAGATATTGAAGGTGATTGGGGACAACAGGGTAGGGTCATCTTACCTGATTAATTTGCCATCCCACCTAAGACCTTGACCTGTTTTCCATGCTTCCAAATTGATGCCCTACACGCCATCCAAGCTTCAAGGGTAGACAAAGTATGCATCCTCCTACTATGAATAGAAGGGCAGCTGTCGAGAAGATTGTTGATCACTGATATATACTGAGGCCAAGGGGGAGACCGAGTACGATGTATAGAATCAAGTTCCAATACTAACAGGAAGAGGAAGACGATGAGTTGGTCAACCGAAGTACTCTAACGGAGACAGCATCTCAAATCGTAGCAGACTACGAAAGAAACCTCCAACAGCAAAGGAGAAGAAAAGGATGACTGCAGTCCGAGCTACTGTATATTTTGCATACTAGATGTTTGTATTATTCATGGAATCCAGTCTCAGTTTACAGACTTGTTAATAGGTTCTCTAAGGGACTTCGAACTGAGGTGGGGGAGTGTTGACCTGGCCCAAGTGTGAAACAAAAACAAGTGTTTATTTTATTTGTCAAGCTTCCTGCCAGTCAGATTCGAAGCCGGCACCTCCAAGTAAGCTTAATGTTAGCTGATCTTGGGCACATAGGACCCTATAAGACCTAGACCACAGCCCGCTAGGACGTAGGCCCAGGCAAAATTGGCATAACAGAAGGTGACGAGCTGCACTTCAGTCCATTCATTTTTCAATTCGTGATTTTGGTGGAGTGAAGGAAAGAAGCAGCAGCGCCAAAACCAGTGTGGTTTGGCTCTATACCGCACGGTTTTGAGCGCCGTTCATTGGAGACTGCTCACTGCAGCCTCGCCCTCGAGTGGACAACACCTTTTTTTTTTTTCATTGTGTGCTGGTGTGATTGAGCAATACGAGCAGGTTGTAAAGCTTTCCCTCCAATTGCCATCCTCAAGATTGGTCTTCACTTCAGTTTGTTTGAGTGCGCATGCAAAGACGTTGAAGTTTTGCAAATTCCTAACAGTATTCCCATCTTTAAACCGGGTACAGATGCAATTTTCCCTTTTCGTTTTTGCTTCACAAACGGACCCATAGGGCCCAACCATTCTGCTGAGCCTCCTTGCCGAGCCTCCTCAGGACGTCCTAAAATTCCGGAGTAGGCCAAATTCCCAACTTTCCCAACACTGACGGCATACTCACACTTGCACTTTTTTATGTATTTCTGAACGGAATTGTAGCCAGATGCATACAGGTACGAATGTAAATGCGGTCAGATACATTTAAGATAGTCCTAGTGTGAGTACACCCTGAGAAAGCTACTGGTGGTGGCTTAAGATACAATGATGTCATAACATACTTGCCACGACTCCATTTCCTTTTGCGGAGCCTCCTCGGGACCTCCTAAAATTTCGGAGTACACCAAACTCCCATTTTTCCCAACACCGACGGCATACTCACACTAGCATTTTTACTTCTTTCTGGAACGGAATTGCGGCCAAATGCATACAGGTACAGCTGTAAACGCGGTCAGATACACTTAAGATAGTCCTAGTGTGAGTACACCCTGCGAAAGGTACTGGTGGCTTAAGATACAATAATGACATAATATACTTGCCACGACTCGATGATTCTTTGCACACCAGCAATCATTTCCTTCCCGTCCAATAAATGATTGATCAGGGAAAAACAATCATGGAGTTCTAACATTAGCAAAATTTTAAGCTTCTTTCCTCGCCATCAGCCTCCAAGATTGATTGCATACAGGTTGTCCACGAAACCAACATCTGCACATGCAAAGTGCACGGGCAAGTAAGATGTCCTGTAGAGGTTGGGGGGGGTGAACGGGGGGGATAAGGAAGGGATGGAGTCGGCGGCAGTGCGGTTAAGAGGGATCAGCGCAGCGGGGAAAAGGGGAGGGGGGGGGGGGACGGGTGGCAGAGAGGATAGGAATGTATTCTGCAAGTCACCTAAAAGCCTCGGTAGTCTTTCGTGTCAATGAAATAAACTTGAAATATTCCACCATACTCGTTTCATCTGACCACGATTCTCTCTTCGGAGACTTGCAACCCCATCCTCCACTTCTAATCTTGTTGATGTACCCATTAATGGCTGCCTCATAAAGTATTCTCTGAATTAGCAGCTGTTCGTCCGTCCTCTGCAAACACAAGTGACCATCTTCATTAGTTCTCAGATCGACATTGCAAAATACAAAATGGTCTGCTTCCACACCACGTCTCTTTCATTATGCCACATTCTTTGCAGCAACAACAATCTTCTCGCCCATTGAAACCCCTGACGTACCTCAATTGCGCCCACATCAGCCCATTCGGCAACAACAATCTTCTCAACTACCAAAACCCCTGGCGTACTCTCTCTCTCTCTCTCTCTCTCTCTCTCTCTCTCTCTCTCTCTCTCTCTCTCTCTCACACACACACACACACACACACACACACACCATGACATGACATGACATGACATGCAGTCCCTAAACAAACATGTCTTTAAAGAACAGTATTAAGTTTACTTGCGTGAGTTACTGCTCTGAATGATCCCGGAGTGTCTTATTAGATGGAACAAATAAAAAAATGACGGCCTCAAACACACGACGTTCATAATGCAGCAGAATGGCACTGAGACACAAAAACAATACCAAGCAGACGAAGCACTGGTTTTAAAGTTTGAAACAGAAATAAGAAGAAATAGGAAGAAATTTATAGTTTATTGTAAACGAATCTGCACAGAAATAAGAAGAAATAAGAAGAAATCTATAATTTACTGTAAACAAATCTGCCATGGGATAGACGAGCTTCCCATTCTAGGCCATAGCCAGCATATGACAGGGTCGAAGGCTGGGGCAAAAGTTTGGACAAGTGGCTCACAGCAGCATGGTAGTAGGCGATGAGGATAAGGTAACACTCTGTATTCTATGATGTCGGTTTTATTTGGGGACAGGACCCACTGACCCTCTGAGCGGCTAAGTGTGTGTATGCCTGACCACGGATTTCAAAATCCTGAAACCCTAAGTACGTCGTTCGAACAAGTTGGTTTTTGGCCGGCCATCTAATTCTGACCATCAGATTTCTGACAAAGATCTAGACATAGCTGGTTGAGGATATGTGTATCAACCTATAAAGAGATTCTGAAACCCAACGTCTGTTATGCGAAATTGTATTTTGCCGTCTGTTTGTGACCGTCAGATTTATTTCCTAACGACGACCCGAACATCACTTACTGCTACGTGTCTTTGTCCAGGTTCTGAACTCCAGCCTAGGAAATCCAACCTAAATTTAGATATCCAAAATGAGATTCAGAAATCCAACCCGGATTTCGAAATCCAACCTAGATTTTGAAATCCTGCCAAGGTTCTGAAATCCAGCCTGGATTTCGAGATCCAGGTTGGATTTCGAAATCCAACTGAGATTCTGAAATCCATCCTAAATTTTGAAATCCAGCCTCGGTTTTAAAATTGAACCAAGGTTTTTGAAAATCCAAACTAGGTTCGTGGAGAAATCCGACCTAGTTTTTGAAATCCAAATCAGAATCTGAAATCCGACCTAGATTTTGGAATGCGTTGCGATCCTACCTAGGTCTTGGACATCCTAGGTTTCAAAAATCCAACGTAGATTTTGAAATCCAAAACCAGCTTCTGAAAGCCAACCTAGATTTTGAACTCCGGCCTCGCCTAGATTTTGAGCACCGGCCTTGGTCTTGAAATCCAAACCTCGGTTGGGAAATCCAACCTAGATCTTGAAAATTCCTACCTTGATTTTGAACTCCGGCCACGGTTTAGAACTCCAACCCAGGTTTGGAAAATGAGACCCAGGTTTTGGAAAATCCAGCCTAGGTTTCGACATCCAACCTAGGTTTTGAGGTCACATTTTCGAAATCCAACCTAGGTTTTCAGGCCACATTTATTGCCAACACACAGAAAAAAAGACGTTCCTGGATTTTCTGGGTGATTCTGGGTAGTGGCAACTTGGAGGCATACTCGCACTAGGACTTTTTCTGCTTAGCTCTGGACCTGATCGCCGTCACATTCATCCAGGTCCGGATAAAATTGCAGTCAGATACATTTAGGAAAGTGCTAGTATGAGTATACCGTTAGGATAGTCTGTGACGGTTACCTGTCTTCCTCATTCTTACACACACTTCAGTCTTCCCCCAAATAAAACGTACGGACATTGATGCAGTATCTAGACTAAAAATTGCCCCAAATACAGGCATCATAACCGTCCGTTGTTCTATTCGGGGGAGGACGGTGACACACGAACACATCGGTCACGGGTTTTGCTGTTACCAATTAGAAAAAAAGAAAAAAAACGTACGTAAAACACAGGCCGGACCGTCAGACTTCTTCAGAGACCTTCCCGTAGGAAATGTGTCTTTAGTCTAATAAGTCCTCGATCTTTTCCAACGTGTGTTTTCTGAGTTCACTTTTACTACACGGTCAGATTGGATTCCTAAGAAAGAGCTGGACATAACTCATTGGGGCCTGCCCGTTCAAATACCAAGATACAGAAATTCCTCAAACTAAAGCACGGAGAAATAAAATTAGCCTGGTGGATCTCCAAAATCGAATGGAAGTGTTCAGCAAAGCAAATATATTATCCTTTTGCCTGCAAAAAGATGGCTCGACAACCGGAAAACGATAATATATGGCAGGCGAAAAAATATAAAAACAAAAATGGCAGGTGAGCACATCTAAAAGCAGAATCAGAGCAGCAGCAGGCTAATTAAAAAAATGGGTGTCACTAAAGAAAAAGAAAACAAAAGCTGGAGAGAGAGAGAAGAGGTTAAGTACAGAGCAAAGACAGAAGAGATCGGGTAGAGAAGGAACAGCGAAAATTGAAATAGCGAAAACAGCGGCCACAATGTGTCGAACTTTCCGGGGGAAAAAAAAAAAGTGGCCATAGACTGCTCGCACATGCTTCAACAGGTAGACATTACATCTCCGTTTGCACAGTTCTCAGTAGAAACGGGCTTGCCGACGGTCAAAAGTAAAATGACAAATGAAGGGAGCGAGAGAGAGAGAGAGAAGAGGTCAAGTACAGAAGAAAGGGAGGAGATTTAAGTACAAAAACGAAGGGAGAGAGAGAGAGAGGAGAGGTTTTTAAGACAAAAGAAAAAGGGAAAGAAATCAGGTACAAAAACGAAGAGGGGGAGAGAGAGAGAGAGAGAAGAGGTTTTCTAAGTACAGAAGAGACAGAGAAGAGATTGGGTACAGAAGGAAATACCAGTATGGAGAGGATGCCCGGTGGTCCAGCCAGGAGAAGATCAAGCAAGGCACCTGGCAATGAACACAAACAATACAATGTCAGAATCTGATTTACAAATAAAATTAAAAAACAGATTCCATATCGATCCAGAACAGTTATCTGGCCCTCATCTTGTCCTTTTTGGTACTTTTTTCCAATTATATATTCCCAAAAATCACAATGCGGTACAGAATATGACAGGACGAGGCGTTTGGATAATCTGTTGACGGCACCACAAAACGACTTCTCTATACATATAAAGGAAAACGCGGGTCTCGCGTGACGCGTCCCTCTGAGACCTTTCCCGCGTGGGCCCAGTGCACCTTGGGCCCGGCACGGTTTTTTGTCAAGGGCCGTTTTTTTTTTTGGGGTTGGTGTTGGTGCGGCTTCGTGGCCCCGGCGGGGTTTTCTGTTTACTGCCATTTTGGCGGGGGGGCGGTTGGTGTCGGCGCAACGTTATGTACGGAGTCTTTTTTCGGCACCGTTTTTTTTCGCGCCGCGCGGGGGGGGGTTGGTGTCGGCGCGACTTTATGAACGGGCTCTTTAGTGAATATTTCCATGTTCTAGGGGAAGATTCATTCGATTTGGCTCATGCTATCGCTGGAAGTGGGATGACGCGGTCGGCCATATTCAACCTGGCAGTGTATATTTCCATGTTCTAGCCCAAGATTCATTGGATGTTGCTCATCCTATCGATGGAAGTACCATGGCGCAAGCCGCGAGGTCAGAGAGTTATCGTCTCTCTCTCCCTCTCTCTCTCTCACATTTCAGCGGAAGATTCATTCCGTTTTTGCTCATCCTATCGATGGAATGTGTGTGTGTGTGTGAGAGAGAGAGAGAGAGCCGATAAGTCTCCAACCTCGGCCAAGCTAAGTCTCCAACCCCGCGGCTCGCCGCACGATAGAATGAGCAAAAAAAAAAGTGGCAGTGTATATTTCCACGTTTCAGCGGAAGATTCATTTCGTTTTTGCTCATCCTATCGATGGAATGTGTGTGTGCGTGTGTGTGTGTGTGTGTGTGTGAGAGAGAGAGAGGGAGAGAGAGAGGGAGACGATAAGTCTCCAACCTTGGCCAACAACTAAGTCTCCAACCCGCGCCTCGCCGGACGCTACTTGGATCGATAGAATGAGCAAATCGAAAAGTGGCAGTGTATATTACCACGTTTCAGCGGAAGATTCATTCCGTTTTTGCTCATCCTATCGATGGAATGTGTGTGTGTGTGTGTGTGTGTCAGAGAGAGAGAGAGAGGAGAGAGAGAGAGAGAGAGGAGAGAGAGAGAGAGAGCCTATAACTCTCCAACCTCGGCCAACAGCTAAGTCTCCAGCTCCACAGCTCGCCGCACGCTACTTGGATCGATAGCTGTCTGTTCTCGATGCCTGGTGCAGCAGACGCAGATGCGCTACAGTGTTCACCCGCGCATACGCTTGGGTACCCTCCTTGCCCAGAAAGCCTGTGGAAGAGAGAGCAACAGAGAGAGTGAGAGAGAAGAGCGGTGGGGCGGGAGGGAGAGCGAGAGAGAGAGAGAGAGAGAGAGAGAGAGAGGAAGAGGAGGAGGAGGAGGGGGTAGAGGAGGAGAAGGTGGTGGGAAAAGACAAGGCGGCAGGCAGTCAGATCCGCAAGTCCGGCTGACCTCTCTCTCCGGCGCACCCACGCATAAGGCCGAGCACTCAGTGGCCAGCTTAGAACATGCTCGCACTAGGACTTCCACTAAATGAATGAATCTGACCACAATTCCAGCCGTCCCTCTTCGTATCTGGTCGCAATTGCGTCAGCAGAGCAGTTGAAAAAGTCGTAGTGTGAGTACGACTTTTGTCCCCCCTCACTGGCGGTGGTCCACCCGGGCTGATCCTAGTACGATCCTCCTGTCTGATCCTGGTGGTCCTCACATGTCTGGTGCTGGTGGTCCCACCTGTCTGATCCTGGTGTGGTGGTCCCCACGTGTCTGGTGCTGCTCTGTCGTCAACACGCCGCGTGTGGGCTACCAGCTCACCTATCGCCTACTCCAGGTACAGTGCCACCATCAAACACTCTGCTGCTAGCGGTCCTTCCACTCTGGAAAACTCCTCTTATCCCTGTGAGGGATCGTTCCTCTCACTTAAAAATCAGCAATGTCAAAAAATAAAAATAAAAAAATCGGTAATGCTAACGGCAGTTTATGACCGTAGATTGTCTTCTCCCTGTGTGCTGTGATAATGTAGCTAGCGGTAGCGGCAGTTCAAATCTTATATAGGGGAGTGAATAATAAGTAAAAAAGTAAGTAATACGTTAGAAGCCGTCACTCCCATGGTGCACAAGCTGGCGCTCCCGAAAGGCAGAACGAGGAATCCGCGTAGAACCAAGCTGCGCATCGCCGGCAATCGGAGGAATATCGGCTGCATACAGTCGGAAATAAGCGGAAATAGTTGCCGCAAAAAGGCCGGAAACGGTGGCAAACGGCGGGGTAGATAACAGCGGACAGTGAGCGGGCCGCCTATAATATCAGTGAAATGTCTAGAAAGAACGAAAAAACACTCAAAAAAAAAAAAAAAACAGACGAAAATAACACTCGCAGCTATTTGACAAACAAACAAAAAACGAAGAATACTCGCCTACACACCCACACACACAAAAAAAAAAAAAAAGAGGAGAAAAGTTTTAAAAAAATATTTAATTGCACAAATTACTTTACAAAAAATGAGGCCTTTAAACCACCAGTACCTCGCTCAGCTATCGGCCACGGGCACTCCCGTATACGCACCGCAGCCCTAGGGGGGTCGTTCAAGGGAAGGCCCCGTCGCTGCGCGAAGGCCAGGCTCCGCTTCCCTAGGAACGACACACTTGAGAAAACAAAAAAAAAGAAAGGGAAAAAAAACAAATACACAAACGGAAAAAAAAAACGAACGGACAAAAAGTTGAAGTTGCACGAGAGAGAGAGAGAGAGGGGCGGCGA